TGAGAAGCATTCAATGATGGAAAAATAAACCTTTAGCATGAAAATGAATAAAGAGGGCACTCCTAGACAAATTCATCAATATGCGGCTAGTGTCTGCGTAATGTTGGTCACTAATTTATAAAACTGTTTCATTATTAGCTAATATGAGTGGCGATAAATTTTATAAATATTGATAGCCTTCTAAATAGGTTTTTGTCATGTGATATGCAGTATAAGAGAACCTCCTACCAGAAAATCAAGTGTAGATCTTTGCACCTTGCTTCTGCTCATTCAAATAACCAGGGAAAATTGAAGGAATAAAACAATAAAAAAAATTATTGAAGGAAAAGGATTGCTTTATCATATAAGGAAAACGAAAGAGACTATGCCTTTATGTGCTCAAGTTCTTACAACATCATATGTCTAGTTCCTTGCCACATTACATACCCATCGTGATGGTGGGCAATTTCAATATGCAAACTATACCTCTGTAATAAAGCTGCACTTTTCAGACGAAACACAAAACAAAAAACATTTTATCTCAAAGCTTAATATTTATCTTGAGTTCAAGGAAAAAACAAAGAAGATATCAAGATTACCTTCAGGGGAAGATTAGTGAAAAAATCAAGCTAAGCTATAGTCCCTAAAATAGAAGAAATCAAGCCAAGCTTATATGTGCAAAGGAAAAGTGAGATAAAAGTGGATGATAAAATTAAGACAGAACATACCATTAGGAATCTATAAAGCAGAGCAGAAGTCCTCTTTAGTATATTTTCTCTTTAAAAGTCCTAACATCCTAATTTAAGTCCAAGAAACAGGAATTCAAGAAATAGCATAAATTAGTGGCGGAATTCAAGAAATAGCATAAATTAGTGGCGGAATTCAAGAAATAGCATATAAAGAAGAAATTAGGGAATTGGAGATACCAAAATTAGTGGTGGAGAATGGCTGCTGCAGGCTAGGCGGCAATCGAACTGCTACATTAGGAGGAAGGCAAGCCGGCGATGACTGTTGCATTAGTCAGAATTGGTTGTTGAACGGATGAAGGCGAGCAGGGCCATATCTTGTGAGGGAAGACCAGTCGCCGTTTGAGGACGGGTCTGCGTAGAAGGAAGCATATAATGAGCGGAGAAGTGGAATGAAGGGTCAGGGGCTTCCTTCTGTTTTAGCCACAGTAGATGCCAACTCAACCGTCCAAATCCACGCACGATGCCAGTTGTCAACCCCACACGCAATTAACCCTACTATATATATATATATATATATATATATAAGATTTAAGATTTAAATGCAATAATTAAACTGGATAACTCCTCCAGCCAGTATCCATCCACCTCTCTGTCCTCGTTGCCCTCAAGGATAGTTTCTTTATTCATCATTCTAGTTACCTACGTGTAGCAAATAGGATAAAGGGCTACACGCTCACTGAAGCTAAGTGAGAAATATCTAACATTTCGACTACGCACATAGACGAACCCACTAGCTCATAATTTCATACAATATCATGCACACAAGTACAACATTAATAACATCATTAGTATCAAATAATTCATCAATCAAGCATAATTACATGGATTACCAATTTTGTCTCAAAATCATACCTTATGCATTAATGACACATAATCCTTATGCAAACCTCATGATCAACTCTCTTATTTTTAAGCTCATAACCTATCATAGGCTAATACCAATTCTTTATTCTAGAGTCCTGATTCAACCACATCCATGAAGAACCCGCTCAATATGACGTCATCCAACGTTGGCGGGGTGGGGCCACCTACTCACATCCTTGAGCAGATCTACGACCCCCGTGTGCATGCACGCCGGCTTGTCACATGGCCAGTTATTCCTAACTGTATTCTTATTATGTTCCTCGGTCTACCTATAGTTTAGCTAGGTAGCCTATCCGTATTCAAGTTCATAATTCCATATTTCTAAATTTGTACGAGATCACAACAGATTAGATAAGCATGCATACTCAACAATTAGAGGCCGAGTGTCAGGTGTAAACACTGTTCACTTACTCTCATGCAACATACAAGATCAACCCAATTCCAAATCATTCATACGTATTATGCTTTAAGGATTAAAATCATGCAAATCACACAACTTAAAGTAAGAAAGCATACCTGGTCGTCCTCGTTCAATCAATTTCAATAATATCGTATAATATAAATAAATCATAATTATTATAACCAAATAAACCACGTAATCAACTATACGAAACTACGAACGTGAATTTCAAATCTATATACGAAATCTAGTGTTAGATGTCCACGTACTCACCTCGATAGTTTGACGAATTAGACGAATTAAATTAATCAAATTGATAAGGAAATTCCAGTGAATAAGTGAATAGGCGGCGGCACACACGGTGGCGGAGCAGCGGCGCGAACAGCGGTGGTCCTCCCCCTCCTTCCGAGGGCTCAGCTCTGTTTCCTCTTTTCTCTCCGTCTCTGTTGCTTTCCTATTCTTTCCCGTAACTTTGTTCTTTATCTCTTTTTTTCTTCTATTCTTGTTTTCTCTCTTTTTTTTTCTTGTGGTGTGTAGGGAGGGGAAATTTCTTTCCGAGTTGGGGTAGGGTTATGTATTTACCCTTGAAAAAGTATTGCATTTAGGATATTTTCTTTTTTTATTATTGTATTATTAAAATTCGAGTAAATTCCATAATTGATCCTTTATAACAGGGGGGTTTCCCTATTTAGTCCTCTATTATCAAATATTACCCCAGTGGTCCTTCTTTTATGGGTATCTTTCCACAAATAGTCCTTTTTTTGATCTTCAATCATGTTGGTGTTAATTTGAGGGCTAAAAGTATAATATCACAATGATAATATATCTTTTTTGTCATACACAATTTCAAAGGCTGTTCCATTTGCGTCGTTTGTGAACTACAGTCGCTTTCTACTATAACCATAGTCTACAAATGTGGTCTTTCGTTGGAATTCTAGCCCACAATCATAGTCATTATTTTTGTGTTATCCGCTTAACCAATATCAAAACACATCACTAGACATAATGTTGATGTCAAATTATATTTTTAGCATTTAAATAAACACCAACATGGCAGAAGATCAAAAAAAGGATCATTTGTGGAAAGGCACCCTTTAAAAAGGACTACGAGGGTAATATTTGATAATAGAGGACTAAATATGGAAACCCCCTGTTATAAAGGACCAATTATGGAATTTACTCTTAAAATTCTTTATATTTATTTATTGAACTGTAATGCCTATTCTGCTCGCCACGCTTTACACTTATTTCTAAATTTAACAAACTATATACCGTTAATCACCATTTTACGAGACCTACCCAAAAGTCTAATTTTTATTTAAAATAGTCAACTTTACAAATTATTCATATTTTTAAGTAAATAAATTCATTATTTATTTTTATTAAAATAACGACTAACTACTAAGCCGGTTTTCGGGTCATTACACCAACGGCTATATTTTTGAGCTTCAAATAGCTCTTTTCATACAATCTATATATTTTGGAGTCCTTACATCATTCCTTCACTCACATCTTCTCTCTTGTTTGATCTTATAGGTTATTCTCTTCATTCTTCTCTTGTTTGTTTACTACTCATATGATCAAACTTTAACCTTTCGACCTACTTTCTCTACATATTTGAGAAAATAATATAGTTTTGTTTCCTCTTAGTTTGTAGAATTTTTTTGTAATTTTTATATATATAAATTTTATTTTTATATTTCTTACAAATTTCAAATAAATTAAAGAAAAAAATAACTTCAATCAAAACTCGTGAACAATAATAGATAACTCTTTTTGGGAGTGAGGGAGTATATAAAGTGATTACTCCCTCCATTCTGTTGGAATGCATGAGTTCAACCTTTTTGTGTTGTTAAGGATTGACTCACATGTTTTAATAATTGACAAACAAAATTTATTCAAGTCAAGATTAAAGTGCTACATCGACAAACACGAAGACTTGAAGTGCCAATTCCTTGAAGTATTCAAGAAGGTGCAGAGGGTTTTACTAGAGTCCGAGACGTGTTCGGAGCGCCTAACGGAGGACTCGGGAGGAGTAGAAGATTTCCGAAGACTTTTTATTTTATTGAGTCTAAGAACATATTGTAAGGATGACAAAAATTATCTTCTCTCCAAAATTATTTGTATAAGGGTTCATATAAAAATTATATTTAATTTTGGATCGGAGTCAGTTGAAAAATCTTTTACCTGTTCAAAATACATTTATTGAGTCAGTTACAAAAGGTGTGTCAGACATTTATCAAAATATTTATTTTGATATTAGAAAATATTTTTGGTGAGTCATTTTCTAGAACTCATTTTCTACACAAAAAATTCCTTCAAATATTCAAATTTGAATTTGAATATATTTGAATCATTTGTGAGTCTTCTCACTTCACTTCATAGCCCCAAATCAACCATATCCTCCAAAACATGTTTCCAACTCGCACAGATGCCTTGGGGCTTTCATGTTTCAGAATTATCCGTTAGTGGATCGATTCCCATGTTTGGACCGATCACACGAAACTTTTATCGTGTGCAGTATACCTACGGTGGATCGATCCAGAGTCATGGATCGATCCCCGATCTCAGCTCAATTTTTCTTCTTCATTCTGTAGTGTATTTGGATCCAACCAAAGGCCTGGATCGATCACCCGTGGATCGATCACATGGCGTGGATCAATCCCTGAGCTGAAATCTGTCAAAATCATTCCATTTCTTTTCCCAATGGATATATTCTTTCAATCCTTATTTATACACCATTCCGTGATTTTAATGAATAAGTAGTCCAAATTATAATATTAGAGAACGTGAAAAATTAAATGAGAAGAAGAATTTTGGACTGTGGAAGTATTAAATAATCAAATTTCGTGTCCGTCATCAATCACCCACACGTCACTCTCTCACCCACAACCGCCGGCCTGATTTCCAAGTTTAGCCGTCAATTCAACCACCGCAATATTAGAACCGTTCTTTTAGAGATCTCCAAACGCACCTTACCAACGCTTTCCCTCCCGTATTCTCGTACCCTCGAGTTCGTTTTCTTTGGCCACGTCATCTTCCCTCTCCGAAAAATTCGTCCTTGATCTCCGCGCCATTTAGTTCCGTGTCTGCACCGCCTCCTCGCGCAATTCCCCTAAGAAACCACCAGTGAAAACGCGGAATATTGTTCCTTGTTGGGTATAATATATTTCGGGTCGGATATTTGATTGCTATGATGCAAAGCTATGCGTCCCTTCTGCTGCGTTTCCACCGTTAACAGCACCAACCGCGATTCCTCGCTGTTGCCAGTTTCCCAGCCGCAGCCTCCGCAGCCTCCGCCGTCTGCCGCCGCGGCCAGATCGTCGGAGTCGTTGACTTCCTCTGGAAATCAAAATCACAACCAAAATCACAATCACGTTCCTCACAACTACTTGCATCATAGCAATCGGATTCTGACCGAGCCTTCATCCGCTTTGAGGCTGGCGTCCGGCGGAATGGATGGTCAACTTCACCCGCAGCAAGTGAAGATCAACGACATAGTGGGGGATGGCATTTCTGGAATCTTGTACAAGTGGGTGAACTACGGAAAGGGGTGGAGGCCGAGGTGGTTCGTGTTGCAGGATGGAGTTTTGTCTTACTACAAGATCCACGGGCCTGATAAGATCATCTTAAGTCCTGAAACTGAGAAGGGTTCAAAAGTCATAGGTGAGGAGTCATTGCGTGTGATATCCCGTTCAAACAGACCTTACAATGCTAATTCCTCTCAGGAAAGCCAATGCCCTGTAGGCGAAGTTCATCTCAAGGTTTAACTATTTTCATGTTCTTGTGGCTAATTGGCTATGATGCCTATGTTTATTGGCTGCGTGCATCCTCTCTTATTACATCATATTGGAATTAACTTGTTGTACCTTTAATTTTAGTTCACTTTTTGTGAAAATTCTAGTAGACAGTACATGCATATATAGTTCTAGTATATTGTTGGGCAATTGTTTAGGTCAGCATATTATGTAGGATTCAGTAGCACAAGTACATGTCTGTTTATTCCCCCGAACTTAATATTGCTTAAATGGAGTAATGATGAGGGGACATTTTAATTTAAATGCAATTCTTTTTATGGCTTCCGGCATATTGTAATTGACTTTTTGTATGGACTTTGCCTTTAAGCTACAATAAGGAGTGATAATAAGAGCGTGTGAGCAATGAATTTGAACCAAGAAAAGGAGAATAACTGCATTATTGGCTAGCATTGTTTAGATACTAACTCTCTTTGACATTAATGTGATCGTGGATTAGTTTTCTCTTATGATACAAACTAGGTGAATTTCACATATGCCTATTTGGCAAGACTTGGTAGTTAATTATTTAAACCGTTTTTTTTAATTTAACATTACTCTTATTTTTCTTTAGTCAGGGTTCTTGCAACCCGGCGTGCATGGTGTAAAGTATGCACTGTTAGCACCTTCACAATCTGAGTAGTTTCTTATAGGTTTCGTCGATACGAGAGAGCAAGTCAGATGACAAAAGGTTTTCAATTTTCACGGGAACAAAGAGGCTACACCTGAGGGCTGAGACAAGAGAAGATAGAATAGCTTGGATAGAAGCACTTCAAGCTGTGAAGGATATGTTCCCAAGACTTTCTAACAGTGAGTTAATGGTTCCTTTGGAGAACATTTCTGTTTCAACAGAGAAGTTACGGAAGCGCCTGATGGAAGAGTGCTTGAGTGAAGCTGCCATCCAGGACAGTGAGCGGATCATGAGGGATGAATTTTCATTACTGCAGAATCGATTGCTGCTTTTTAAACAGAAGCATCGGCTACTCATTGACACACTTCGCCAATTAGAGGTACGGAGTGTTACAATTAATACTAGCGCCATGCATTTTTGGTTAAAATTGAAGGATCTTCAAGTGATTACCCATTTTGATGCATCCCACATCTGACGTGTTAGGGATTTATGTTCAATATTTATGTTTGGGCTAAATGCTAAATCTCAACTATTGAGCTAACTGTTGTTGACTTGTTGAATAAAGGTTTGCACTTTTATCAGTCGGTATCAGTGCCTGGATACGAGTGTGTGTGGATGTGTGCTATTCTGTTCTTAGCACAACCCACTCATCCATGATCCATGCCGGGCATAGCGGTTAGTGATACATGGGTTTTATCAGTTTAGAATGGAGACCCTTATACAAGTTTGGAGGACCAGAGACGCATAGACATGTGAAGTGTCCTTGAAATTTTTACTAAAACACGTTATGCTAAACTTGCTTGGATTGGGGTTTTGGGGTTTCTTTGATTTGGTTACAACTTTTTTGGGTTTATGTGGGATATGCTCACCATACTAGCCTATGCTAGTGATAAGAGGTTTGATAAGAATGATTTATAGGTTTGAAAAAAGCATTGAAAAATATACTAAGAAAAATGCAGAGGGTACTCAATTGACAATTTTAGTCAAAGGCTTACTCTATGCAGTCCAAACATGATCAATATGTTGGCCAACAAAGACCTGAATTTCATGCTCCCTTCAAGAAAATGATGAAGTAAAATAAATGTTTTGGGAAAAATAATTGATACGAAATTGTTCGTTATGCAAAGAAAATATTCTTCTTTTATACATTGATTATCATGTTCAAAATTGTTCGTGATGGAAAGAAATTATAATTGTTATAGATTTTTAACTTTGTCCTATAAAATTTATGTTTTTACTAGTTTTACAGCACACAAGTAGTTTATGGTACTGGAATGATCTTATTTACGTAGTTGGCTAGTATCTATTTTTTGAACAATGGTGCTGCATATTTAGCATACTTGTATGGTATCTGTGGGGATAATGGTGCTTTATGTGGGGTGCTAATGCTCTCTCTTTCCAGTGTTCATGGTACTAGTTGCAGCTGCATATGGGAATTCCCAATTCTCTCATAGGAAGTTTCTTGTGGATACTTGACTATAGTACACTCAGGCTTAGTCAAGTCGAAAATCCCTTTTAATTATTAGTGTGATTAAACTGTATTTTTAATTGAATAACACAAGATATCTTTTTTTTAATTAAGGCAAACCCTCAAAATTTCACAGGATCACACTAAATTCATTGCCCAATGAAGAAGAGGACTGCTTTTGTTCAAGACGGATAGACAATTCATTCCTTTAACTTTTTTCCATTAGTCAGAATAAGCTGGTAGTTGCTGCTAACAGTTATACCTTTGTAGGATGAACTTTGACAGCTTGACTACGGTCTAAGGACACGATCATGGCCTTTACACTTAAGATGCCCGACATTATATGGGGATGTCTACTGTACACTTAAGTGTAAAGGTGCTTAAAATTTTTAGTAACCTTCCCATTGGTTAACCTGCATGACATTTGTTCCAGTTTTCCAAATCAAACTCTCAAGTCCTAAAGAACTTGATTCCTTTTTGGATTCTGCAGTCGGCAGTCTTCTCTTCTCCTATTTGGTTATTGTCTTTAATTAATGGAAGTTTACCTTGTAGCACTTTTCATCTACAAAAAGAAAGTTGCCTTTGATATTTTTTTCTTGTTAATTAAGATTTTATGTCATTTAGACCGAAAAAGTTGATTTGGAAAACACAGTGCTGGATGAGAGTCAAAGGCAAGCAAGTGGTGTTGGGCCATCTGTTAGATTGAGGCAGGACAAATACAGTGGTATGTCTATTTTAAACTCTATCTTATCTTTCAAATTTCAACAACACTGCCGAATGTTTAAAGTATATTTTTATTTATTTTTTTGGAACTACAACCCGCTACACCCGGGAACCGAGGCCGGTTAACCTCAAATAATCTAAACCCATCATAGATCCGGCCAATTAGGCCCAAACATTACTCCCTTCTAAAACCCTCCTTATTCGCTCCCATGGGACCTCTTGGTGAGCAGCTCTGAGACTTCAACTTGTTCTTTCATGAGTTTCATCCACTTGACCAGAGGGTCTTGCTTGGTTGTTCCTTCTATTTTACAGAGTAAAAATCCGCAATTTTTATTGGTGTCTTCAGTATCTGTCCATCACGAAAATTGAAGGTTATACTGTAGTGCATGATCTTATATGAACAGAGCAATAGCGTTGTAACTTGTAAGTTTAGCTTCACCGAATCACCGCTTGGATCGACTAGAATTCGGTCATACTTCAGTTAAAATTTATTTGCGTCGCTAAATACTTACAAATATTTATGATGTCTCTATTTATGATTTAAGACCTAATTTATCTTAATTATTTTGGATCTTCATCCAGAGGCAAGTGCGAGTGACTCAGGAGATGACAATGAAAGGGTTGATGCTGCAGAGGATGACACGGATGAAGAAGAGAAAATGTTCTTTGATACTAGAGATTTTCTGTCATCAAGTTCTTTTAAAAGCAGTGGCTCTGGTTGTCGGACACCCTCATTCTCTTCAGAAGATGATCTCTATGTGTTTGCATCAGATGAGAGTGTTGACCCTGTGATTAGATCTGCATCACTGAAGTTCCCTTATATCAAGCGCAGAAAGAAATTGCCAGTTCCTGTTGAGAAAGAGAAGGGAGTGAGTTTATGGTCAATGATTAAAGACAATATTGGGAAAGACTTGACAAAAGTTTGCTTGCCTGTCTATTTTAACGAACCTCTTTCTTCACTTCAAAAGAGTTTTGAAGATTTGGAATATTCATATCTTGTTGACCGTGCTTCTGAATGGGGAAAGAGAGTAAGAAGATGAATTTCCTCTTTTCTTTTGAATATTTAGTACGGAGTATTTTGCTCAAAAGTCATTTGATATATTTGCAGCTCCTGTATAATTTACTTGTGTACCATTCTGCTCTAGTGCACACAATTTAAATTAATTGGTGCTTGGCTGCTGGTTTTTGTAAGGTGGCTTAGCTAGAACCTTTGATAATTTACATGAACTGAATCTACTTTTCTGCTTGTAGTGAGATCATAGAAATTAACATGACGTTCATTGTTTTAGGAAAGCTCAACACTTTCTAGGTTTAAGGTGCACTCTGCGCTGTACATTTAATGTACTCCCTCTATCTCAATATAATAGCCCATTTTAGCTGAGGGGAGAGAAATAATATGGACCAGAGAGAGAAATAATATGAACCACATATTATATTCCTAAAAAGGAAACTGAACTGTATTTTGGGAATGATGAAGATGGAAACCATGTAGTGTATTTTCAGTACCTAATCATTCTTTGGGATTTCTGGTAGGGCAATAGCCTTATGAGGATTCTGAATGTAGCTGCATTTGCTGTATCTGCCTACGCTTCTACAGAGGGAAGGATTTGCAAGCCCTTCAATCCATTGTTAGGAGAAACGTATGAGGCTGACTATCCAGACAAAGGTGTCCGTTTTTTCTCAGAGAAGGTACCGTTATATGATTGAAGTAAGGGAATATTGTCTTAATTTGCATCTGAGTTCATACATTTGGATGCTTTGTCATAAAGTTAACCCTGCTCTTCGTAATAGATAGAGTAGAAGATTGGCTGATGTCATAATTTTTAAAATAGAATTATGGTTTTCTTATGAGTAAATTCCATAATTGGTCCTTTATAACGGGGGGTTTGCATATTTAGTCCTCTGTTATCATATATTACCCCCGTAGTCCTTTTTTAAGGGTGCCTTTCCACAAATGGTCCTTTTTTTGATCTTCTACCATGTTGGTGTTAATTTAAAGGCTAAAAGTATAATTTGACATCAACATTATGTCTAGTGACGTGTTCTGATATTGGTTAAGCGGATGACACAAAAATAATGACTATGATTGTGGACTAGGATTCCAACGAAAGACCACATTTGTAGACCATGGTTGTAGTAGAAAGCGACTATAATTCACAAACGACGCAAACGGAACAACCTTTGGAATTGTGTATGACAAAAAAGATATATTATCATTGTGAAATTACACTTTTAGCCCTCAAATTAACACCAACATGATAGAAGATAAATAAAGGACTATTTGTGGAAAGATACCCATAAAAGAAGGACTACTAGGGTAATATTTGATAATAAAGGGCTAAATAGGGAAACCCCCCTGTTATAAAGGACCAATTATGGAATTTACTCTTTTCTTATTGTTGGATAAACAACCAGGTTTTTTTTAACTGGCTCTTCAGTACTCAGTATGTTACTCACAATTTTCCAAGCCAATTCTGTTTTTTTGTCTTAATCGACTCATCATGCTTCTCTCAAACCATGTTGCAATATTCCACAATACATTCAAAACTCTGCAGCTCTCCAGTCTTACTAGTTTTTAACTCTGTGTTATTTTCATCACGAGCTGTATCATTCTCACACGAACTGCTCTTTTTGTACTATGATTAAGAAATGGAAAAGCCATTTTTCTCAGAAAATGATTCTGTTGATCTTCCTGTTGTATCCTTATCCTGCTCACTTGATTTAGATATGCTTTGGGTGCACATGTTTAGATCGAAAGAAAGTTGTAACTTCCTATCGCTTATTAGTCGATGATGAATATGTTTTTATAACCATTCATTTCCTTTTTTGTTTAGGTAAGCCATCACCCCATGATTATAGCATGTCATTGTGAGGGTACAGGGTGGAAACTTTGGGGTGATAGCAATTTGAAAAGCAAATTTTGGGGTCGCTCAATCCAGCTAGATCCTGTTGGTGTTTTAACTCTAGAGTTTGATGATGGTGAAGTTTTCAAGTGGGGCAAGGTAATTTCGGATGGTTGATTGAGACTATGTTCCTTTTTTGGATTCAATGCTATGATGAGCAACCTTCTTACAGGTAACGACATCAATATATAATCTGATTTTGGGAAAACTATATTGCGATCATTATGGCACAATGCGCATCCATGGAAATTCTAACTACTCATGCAAATTGAAGTTTAAGGAGCAGTCTATTATGGATCGAAATTCCCATCAGGTTTGCTCTCACTGTCTTTCTCTCATCGAGCTCAAGGAGCAGCCTGTTATTGAGCTTAAGCTACCTATTGTGTAATATTGCTAATGCAAACTTTTAATATGATCCATAAGATGAAAGTAATAATTTATGGAGTTTTTTTTACCGCTAGCTTTGCTTTTGAAGGCATAATGTGCTGCAATTAATATGGAGTTAGATAAACTAAAATACTAATTTGGTTATGGGAAATATCAACTATCAGGTTGAATGTTATTAATTTGTTTCATCCAATACAGGTACAGGGAACTGTCCAAGATAAGAGTGGGAAGACAGTAGCTACTTTATTCGGTAAATGGGATGAGAGTATGCTCTATGTTAATGGAGATCACTCCAAAGGATATTCACTGGACTCTATGTCAGAAGCTCATCTGCTTTGGAAACGGAGCAAGCCTCCTAAGGACCCAACCAGATACAATTTGACACGATTTGCCATCACTTTGAATGAGCTCACCCCTGTACTCAAGGTATGCTTTTGTTTTGCTTCATTTTGGGGTTATGTGACCAGTAGTTGTGCTGAGCACTCATTACCTTGAAAGATTCTTCCCAAGTTCTATTTTGCAATTTGCACAAAATGTTATTCTGTCATCAAAGAAACAGTAAGTTACTAAGTTCGTTGATTTGCAGGAAAAGTTACCACCAACAGACTCTCGGCTAAGGCCTGATCAGAGATGTCTGGAAAACGGTGAGTATGAGAAAGCAAACTCAGAAAAACTGCGACTGGAGCAGCGGCAACGGCAGGTAAAATTTTATTGGTGAATATACTGGACCATCGTAAATTTAACCTTTTGTATAGTGTGCGGTCATTTACCCTTCATCTTAAAGTTTGGACTTGTTGGTAAATATCTTCTAAATTTAGAATGTAAACATATGGTTTGCAACTGCCTTGGGCTCGTATCTGGACATCTTTATGACTTAGATCCAGATATTTCTCTCCTTGTTCCAGCATTTTAGACCCAAAATCAGTTTGAAAAGGGGAATCATGCAAATATTTATAGAAAAAAACATGCTTATTACAAGGGATCGATAGTCAACCTAGAAAGAGTGAAGAACCATTTCAGTTTATCACAAGGGACAAATCTTTTTACACACCTATCTGTATCTATATATATATATATGGTCTGCAGGCTCGTAGAATGCAAGAACGAGGCTGGAAGCCACGATGGTTTTCCAAGGAGAAAGAAAGTGATACGTATCGCTATGTTGGTGGTTATTGGGAAGCAAGGGAGCAGGGAAACTGGGATTCTTGTCCGGATATTTTTGGTCAGATCCCGTCTGACAAGATACTGGTTGATTGGTCCAGTAATTAAAAAGCTCCTCCAGCTTTTCGTGGCTTTGATTTTCCCTTTCTTTTTCATGCCACATTACATTTCCCCCCCTTTTCATCATGAGAAAGCCTTTTCATCATGACTCATGAGAAAGGATAGCTTTCCCAATCCTCCATATATACCTAGCATTTTAATCCGTGTCGTGCACGGGTCGAACAAATATTTTTTATTATGTTATTTTTTTCGCAGTAAATGATTAAGAAATCGCACAAAATATAATAGTAACATAAAAAATTTAACGAATGATATACCATAAACACTTGAAACTATCATATGATTAAAAATGCATTACTATAATAGACAATTAACCTTGTTTTTTCATTAATATGTTACTCCCTCTACCCAAAATTCAGATAATTGCATATTTACCATTCATATGGTCAAATTTTATTCATTTGTTTCCTTATTTTCGTTACTCGTTTGATAATAAAATACTCTGTATATTCATCACCTCTTGCTTCGTAAATCTTAAAATGTTACTTTTTAATATGTAAATTTTGTTTATAATTTAGCTCCAATTTTTAAATAAATTATATTGAAAATAGTTCAATCAAACATTATAAACGAAAACAATGTATCAAATAATGTAGTCCATTATTTTGCCCTTTCACTAATCATTTTTGTATCAAATAGTTAATTAAATTATTTACTTGCTACAATCACTATGCATCGATGACATATCTTTCGCCTATATCTGTATCAGTTTGTGGTAGTATTCATCGATGATATTCTTGTGTACTCTATGACACGAAAGATCACGCCAAGCGCCTACAACTCGTGGTGGGTGTTCTTAGGGAGCACAAATTGTATCCCTAAATGTCAAAGTATGAATTTTGGCTCAATGAGGTCATATTTTTGGTCATGTGATCTCCAATGAGGGTTTCAAGGTGAACCCTAGTAAAGTTTCAGCCATCACTGAGTGAAAGACTCCTAAGAATATACGTGAGGTAAGAAGATTTCTCGGTTTGCTAAGATACTATCGGTACTTCGTAGAAGGTTTCTCGTCCATTGCATCCCCACTAAATAAGCTTCTGAAGAAAGACGTAAAATTTGTGTGGACAAATGCTTTCCTGCAAAGCTTTGAATATTTGAATAAATGTTTGACTGAGGCACCCGTGTTGGTGCAACCGACTCCAGGAGTGGATTAAACCATCTTTAATGACGCATCCTATAGTGGGTTGGGTTGTGTACTTATGTAGGAGGGTAACGTAGTCACTTATGCCTCCCGTCAGTTAAAGCCTAAAGAGTGCAATTATCCCACCCACGACCTTGAGTTAGCTACGATAGTGTTTGTAGAAGATCTCGTGACACTACTTGTTTGGGGAGACCACCCAAGTTCATACGGGCCACAAGAGCCTAAAGTACCTACTCACTCAAAAAGAGCTAAACTTAAGACAGAGAAGATGGCTAAAACTGATTAAGGACTACGACTGCTATATTGACTACAATCTGGGTAAGGCCAACGTGCTAACCGATGCCTTGAGTCGAAAGACTATTGCGGAACTGCATCTATAGCTGACTCTGAAAGGTGAAACTTGCACAACCTAGAAAGAAGATGAATATTGCTCGAAGACCAAGGAGCTTGCCTCTAAAGGGGAAGAAAGGACTACACTTTGAGCTTGTCTCTAAGGGGGAGAGACATGACGACACTGTGGACAATGACGAAGTCTTATTCTACCGGGATTGCTTGGTGGTGCCTGGTGGCAAAGTGAGGGAGCGCTTGTTGCGTGAAGCGCATGAAACTACATACAGCATGCACCCTAGTAGTAACAAGATGTATCAAAGTCTGAAGAAGACATACTGGTGGCCAGCCATGAAAGGAGAAATATCAAAGTTTACCTCTAGATGCTTGACCTGTCAACAAGTCAAAGCTGAGCATCAGGTGTTGAGCGGATTGCTACATCTGCTCATCATTCTCGAGTAGAAGTGGGAGCGAATCACCATAGACTTTGTGATCAGACTTCCATTGTCAGCTAAGAGGAACGATGTTGTTTGGGTCATTGTGGACCGGTTAATGAAGTCAGCCTATTTCTTTCCGATAAGAAGGGATTTCTCTTTGCAAAAGCTAGCTAAACTTTACATCCGTGATATTGTAAGATTGCATAGTGTCTGATTGTCTGTCATCTTAGATCTAGATCCGTGATTTACGTCTCAGTTTTGAAAGAGCCTACAGAAGGCTCTAGGCTCCAAACTCAACTTCGGTACCGCGTTTCACCCACAGACCGATGGTCATTCCGAGACGGTGATCCAAATTCTTGAAGATATGATGTGAGCTTGTGTCGTTGATTTTGGAGACATGTGGGAGCGACACCTACCACTGATGGAATTCGCTTACAACAACAACTATCAAGCTAGCATACAGATGGCTTCGTACAAAGCTTTGTACGTGCCACATTGCATCTATTGGACCGGACTAAGTGAGCCCAAGCACGAGGGACCTGACCTTGTCCGCAAGATAGTGGAGAAAGTTCGAGTGATCCGATACAGATTACAGATAGCCTCAGATATCCAAAAGTCTTACCAACCTTAAGCATCAAGAAGTTGAATTCAACATTGATGATTTTGTATTCTTAAAGGTCTCACCTTGGAAGAAGGTATTGAGATTTAGAAAGAAGGGTAAGTTGAGCCCTAGATTCATCGGACCCTATTGAGTCACCGAATGCGTAGGACCGGTGGCCTACCAACTTGAGCTACCACTAAAATTGAATAAAATACATGACGTGTTTCATGTGTCCATGCTAAGGACCAGCCCTTCTCATATCATGCCCGAAGAAATAGTCACCCTCGATGAGAATTTTTCCTAAGAAGAAGAACTCATTCGGATATTATCGCATGAAGTAAAGGAACTAAGGAACAAGTCTGTTCCCTTGGTCAAGGTGCTCGAGAGAAATCACTCCATAGAAGAAGCAACCTAGGAGACCGAGTGGTCCATGTGAACCCGCTATCCTCATTTATTCAGCGACCACTGACTCAAGTAATTTTGAGGATGAAATTCTTTTAAAGGGAGAGAGAAATGCAACCCCATGAAACCTGGCCTGTAATGCCCCAAAAATAGGTCTATCAAAAATTATTAATTATCAATTAATTAATTATAGAGAAGGACCCAAAAATAAAGTGATTTATAAAGTTTATCAATAAATAATGAAAATTATATTATCATGTAGAGTTTGACTGCCTGACCCCTACAGTTCAATCGGAATTAAATTCGGGGAAAGTTGGACAAAAAATGTACCACGACTGGAACCAAAATTAGTCCCAATTAGGGACTACACACCAAACGACGCTCTATTCAATTACACCGAGTACAATCTATCGAAGAATCACAGAAGTGGCAAGCCTGTGTCTTCTTCCTCCTTCTCTTTGCTATATAAGGAGAGCTTACTCCTTCAATTCTCCACCAAAACACTTCATTTCTTCTTCTATCTTGTTCCTTGCTGAGAGAGGAGTGCAGTGGTGTTGTCACCCTGGTGTGAAGTCGCCAGAGCTGAGAGTAATCGTCGCCGGAAGTTTCGCCGGAAAATTTCCAAAACTTTCGTTAAGCTTCGAGGTAAGCCCGTAGATATATCTAATGACTAGAATGTTCATATAGGTCATTTCTACCTTCATAAATGGTCATTTGGTTGAGCATTGTGTTTGACATGCTTGAAGAACTAAGAATCATAGACCTTGATTTTGATGTTAAAACTATGAACTAATGATACCAAAATGATCTATGAACCTTGGAGAATATTTCAATATAGTTTAATTGAAGTTTGGTAACTAAAAATGGAATTTTCGAAATTGGACCCGAGAGGTAGAAGACGATGAACAGTGGTCGAAAACCCAGAGAATGGATCGATCCATCCTTCTGGATCAATCACATGAAGTAGTTTTCCTACGGAGGATCGATCCAAGGTGCTGGATCAATCCCCGACCTGTTTGCTCCGAAAATACTTCTGAAAATGTTATTTTTGAGCTCTAAAATCCTATTTTTGATATCAATTAATTATGAACAATATAAAGATGATTTTTCACAATGATAAATGATGTTTTTAACAAATACTCGTAAAATGTTATGTGATGCATGACGATAAGTTAGGATGTTAATACTCGACGCTAGGCCGCTATTTGTCATTGAATATTATGATGATTATAATATATTGATGATTATTATTGATTGAGGATTTGATAATGAATATTCTGATGATTATATCATAATGAATATACAGATGACTGTGAAATAAAATGTATTGTTAAGTGTATCTAGAACAACTCTAAGATACACCCATAGTGATGTTGATTTTGAAGGGTATCTAGAAGAACTCTAAGATATACTCATTTAAGTTAGGCCTTGCGGGTATGATGCCTGTGGCCAGGGTTAAAACGTACGTACGGGATCCACAAATCAAACTTGAGTACCTACTTGTTTGGGGGTACCACCCACCCGACAGTGAACATTCCGCTGTTCGATTTCTAGTTGACTTTAAGCAATGGTAAGTTTAAGATTTAAAAACCTTTTTAAAAGTCTGCATCTAAAACTAGGCCTAGCTTAAGGGTTAGTTAAGAATACCTTAAACTGGAATTAGTTTAAGAATTGAATTGACCTTAGACTAAGAATAGTTTAAGGACATTGTTGAATATGAATGTTGGATATTGTATGATGAATGTTGAATAAAAAATATCTGAACTGAACATTACGTGCATGAATCTGAAGTGAACTAACTTTCTTGACTGGAGATGAATCTTACGATTGTTCTCGAATGCGAGAAAAAGCTCTACAACCTTTGACCTATAACTAAATAAAATATATATTGTATATTAATTAGAAAAAATAATATTTTGAAAATATTTTATATAATAAATCTAATAAAATTATTTTTGTATTAATTTCTAATATCATTTTTATTTAGTTTGAGGTTAAAGTTTGCCAATTTTGACCAAACAAAATGAATGAAAAACGCACAAATAAACAAAAATTCTCATGATTTTTGAATTTTGACCAAAAAAATATTATTGTCACCTCTTATTTTAAAGAATTTTTTACGTATTTTTTATATGTGTACTTTTTTTATTTCTAGAGTAAATTTTCAAAATAGTACTCAATAACTATGCGTTTTCCCAAATTATTTCCTAAGATGAAGTAATTATCGAGATGGTACTCATTAATTGAAAATAATGCCTAGTTTAGTTCCCCCCAACTAACCGCTATCAAAATGGAGTCAAAACGACATTAAAACTTATGCTTATTTTCCAAAATGATAACTTCTACTCCCTCAGTCCCACAAAACTATTTTGGTTTTGATATTTAAAGGATTTAAGAAGAATAGATTTTGGTGTTGAGTTTCCAAAAATACCCTTTGATGTGATGGGTAAAAGTAAGATATGATGGATAAAGTAATAATGAAAAAATGTGATGTGATAGGTAGGTTAAGATTTAGTAGGGGTAATAATAATTTTTTACTAGAATTGAGAAAGATTATTTTGGATGGATGAAAAAAGAAAGAAAAAATATGTTTTTTAGAATTTTTTTCAAATCAATCAATTTTTGAAATAAAATCTCATAAGAAAATGGTCCACTAGCTTTGCTCAAACATCGTGAATTAATTAAAGAGAAGAATCATGCTTCAGCTTTTCATATTAAATGAATTTTTATATCGAAAATAAACTAATTTAAAAAAACATCCAAATCAATTTGGAAAATTAGTATAAACTTTTATGTTTTCTGACGCTGTTTTGACGACTGTTTTTCAACAGAAAATTGCTCCTGGGTACCCCATATTTTGAAAAACTAACTGCCGGGTACCTCATTTTTTAAAATATACTCTGGGGTACCCTCTATTTTTAGAAACTAACTATCGGGTACCTCGCATTTTTAAAATATACTCCGGAGTACCTCCAAATATACATTAACTTACCCGTGAAGGACATCCCGTCTCACTCTTCGTCAAAGCCAGTTACGCCATTAATTTTAAGAATTAGAGGTTTGGAATTCTAAATAAATAATCTTAGTTTTTATACTTTAATGATACAATCTATCGAGTTTAATCGAAGCTTTCGAATGAAACAGAATGTCTCTTATGGGTAAGTTAATGTATATTTGGAGGTACTCCGAAGTATATTTTAAAAATGCGAGGTACCCGATAGTTAGTTTCTGATGGTGTAAATATAGCTGGGTGGATCGACCAGATTTGACCTGCACACTCGACCCGTAATATAAAACACACAACAAGAACACAAAGTATGACCTAGACCGGGTAAATCTCCTCAGTCCGAATTATATTTCTTACTCTGTCTCAAGAGTGTACTATTTTTAGTGAGAGAAAGAATGGATCCCCTCCTCTATCAAATATCATCATATTTATAGAGGAGGATTTGTGACCTTCCCCTGTTCATCCATGGACAAAATAGGAAGCTCGTGCGAAGGTCACTGTAGATAATGGAAGCACTGTACAATCATGGACTGGTTACTAATACAACCAAAAAGCATTGTTCAATCAAAGACTAAGATGGATAATCTCAATCCAATCAACCCTGCAAAATGACAAACATCCCTTTCACTGTGTGCCTCGTGATGGATGAGCGGCGGGGAGTCCCCTCGACCTCTGACGTGGTTCACCATGCCTAAGAGACTGGACCAATGTTAGCCAAGTAAAGTGATATGACCGGTCACCTTCTCTCAAAGGTTACCCGGTCATTTCTTGCGCTCAACCCGTCTTTTTGGTCTTCCAGAATATCCTTCGTAGCATAAGGTGACATTTTGGCTATCGCCCAAAATGTGACCGGTCACTTTTTTAGTGGAAGTGACCGGTCAACTTTTGACCCATCCCAATCAAAGAGTTAACTTCATTTGGTGATTGATAAAAGTTACCGGTCATACTTTGACCTGTCCCTTTCGGTTGTCCGGGTCGGGTATAGGGTTATACCCATCAAGAAGTCCTCCACTTACCGCCCTTGTGAGGAAATCATCAAGGGCGGGAAGTATATTTATGTTGACCTTTTGCTTTTGAAATCACCAAGTCATTCCCATGACCTTTCGCTTTTGAAATCACCAAGTCATTCCCATGATCTGTCCTTCTTTGAAATCATCAAGTCTTTCCCATGACTTGTCCTTCTTTGAAATCATCAAGTCATTTCCATGACCTGTCCTTCTCTGAAATCACCAAGTCATTCCCATGACCTGTCCTTCTTTGAAATCACCAAGTCATTCCCATGACCTGTCCTATTTATATCCGTCGAATATGCTTCATGACCTGTCCCTTTGGATCTGCGGTTGTCCAAACATTGGGCCTGGCCCTTTAGTTTTGGAATTTCCCCCCAAAAACCTTTCACCTTCCACATTTGAAATTTGAATTTCAAACTCCATCATTACCTTTTCCACGTGTCACGCCCTCGGCCTCCCACCTGTCGCCTCGAGTTCCAATTTGCCCCTCTCTCTCCTATAAATACTCCTTCAACCCACTCCATTTCCTCACTTCTCTTCCTCGCCTCTCTTGTTTCGACCGGTCTACTTCCTCTCTCTAGCTCTTTGCCAAGTAAGTCCTCCAGTCCTCTTAGTCTTTTTATTTTTCCATCTTTCCTTCTTTAACCGGCGTCATAATGTCTTCTGATAGTCAAAACGTGTCCGGTCATTCCTATGGGTCGGGCTCTCAGCCCTCTTCCTCTAACCAATCTGACTCTTCCTCTCCCCCTGTCACTCCTTTGATTCGCCGCCCCTCTCACCAGTCTAGCTCTCAGGCCCGGGAAATAGTTGCCCAGGAGCCTGTCCCTCTGAACCAAATGCCCGGTCGGTTCCATACAATATCATGCACACAAGTATACAATATAATAGAACATAACAGTCACCAAATAAATTCACAAGTCACAAATCATTACCTTAATTCCTCCTTATTCATAGCTCATAACATAATTGCCAGACTAAGTCCATACTTCCTTATTTACAACCTTATGTTCGGACTTAGAGTCACTACCTACGGCCATGACTCAAGTCTACCTTATGACACAACACAACCTGATGACCAACGAAGGAGTTCTCTGCTGAGTGGGTGGTACCCCTGTCCCCTTCGGAACGACAGTTCTTGGATCCCGTACGTACGTTTTAACCCGCAGCCGCCAGATATCAGATCCGCAGGGCTGATCCTATCTATTGACATTTATACTTACAATTGTACTAAGGCAGTCCTAGAGTTCCCCTAGGTAGCAGAATCATTTATTTATAACATCTCTATAGTTCAGACTTATTCCAACATCAACCTCAGTTCCTTATGTACTTTTTTTAAAACACAACAGGATGATATTTAATTATAATAGAAGGGTTACAATAATCAGGTAATCAATCAACCAACTCATTTAGCGGCCTAGTGTCAGATGTAAACACCTTCCACTTACCGTCATGCAACACACAAGGCATAGGGAACAATCTGGAAGTTGAAACAGAACAAACAGACGAAGAATCGATCGAACAGTCTGCCGGTCCGGTACCCCCTTACGGTACCTCAGTACCGCAAGGCAGTACCTTGGTACCGTCAGTCCGGTACCCCCGTACCGTGCGGGCGCAGGTACCGGCAGTGGCACTTTTTCAGTGGCAGTATCACGGTACCGCTAGGCAGTACCTAGCTATCGTCTGGCGTCGGGAAGTCACCAGAGCGACAGATTTCGATCCAATTCCAAACCATACAATATGTACTACGTTTGTAAAGATTATTATCATGCAAACCTACACAATTTAGAGTGAGAATACATATCTGGTCGTCCTCGTTCAATCAATTCCAATATTATCATAAAATATAAATAAATCATAAATCAATTGTAAACAGATAAGCCACGTAATCAATCATACGAAACTACGAACGTGAATTTCAAATCTATATACATAATCTAGCGTTAGATGTGCAAGTTCTAACCTCGATTAATTGGTGAATTAAACAAAACAAGAATCAATTGGTCGGGCTGTTTCCGGCGATCCCTGCGGCGGCGGCACAAGGAGACATCGGCGGTGAACCGGCGTCACAGCGGCGGTACTGCTCCTCCTCCGCTGCCCGGCTCTGTTCTCGTGTTCCTGCTCTGTTACTTCTTCAGCGGCGACCAGTACTCCGTATATGTTTTTGCTTTTTCTTTCTCTTCAATTGTGCGTGCGTGCATAAATTATATAAGGGGATGGGTTTGGGGGATAATTTCCATTCCATATACGGGTAGGTTTAGGAATTACTCCCTCCGTCCCCCTAAGATGTTCTCATTTTGACTTTTTGTGGTTTTTAAGGAGAGTTGAAAAAAGATGAAAGTTTACCAAAATACCCTTAATGAAAATGGGTGGAGTGTATTAAATGAGGTGGGTGAGGTGTAATAAATAAAGTAAGTGATGGTAGTTGTGATATTTTACTTGCTAAAAAATGAAATGAGAAGATCTATTGTGGACAAAGAAAAACGGCTATTGAGAAGATCTATGGGGGACGGAGAGAGTATATTATGTATATTATTTTATTATTATAAATTCTTATATTTACTTATTGAACTATAATGTTTATTTTACTCACCACGCTTTATACGTAAGTCCAAATTTAACAAATTATATATCGTTGGTCACCATTCTATGAGATCTATCCGAAAACCCAATTTTCATTTAAAACAGATAACTTTACAAATAATTCATATTTTTAAGTAAATAAATTTTAATATTTATTTTTATTAAAAATAACGACTAACTACTAAGCCGGTTTTCGGGTCGTTACAGGGATCGCTGGGTTACCTAGCCCTTGACTCCGGGCCGGTCTTCAAGGAGTCCTCTAGGGTAACCAAAAAGGTCCTGGCTGAAGTCCGTTCCGTCCTCCCACCAGGCTATAAACTCCTCTCTAACACCACCTTGCCCAACATCATACAACCCCACCAGGGAAACCGGTTGGGTTTTCATATTGCTTCGCTAGAGGGTGCATTATCTTTCCCCTTCGCCCCCTCCTCGTAGAAATCTGTAATAAGTTCAATCTTTTGCCCGGCCAGCTTACTCCAAATGCTCACCGGTTTTTGAATTGTTTTGTAAATATTTGTGAATCTTTGAACATCAAACCTTCCCTTGATCTCTTCCTTCATATGTATGATGTCTTGTCCGGGACTAGTAACTGCCCGGGTTTTGTTTACTTCCATTCCCGTGCCAACTCTAGGGGTTTTTTGACCGGTCTCCCCAATGGAAACAAAGATTTGTTTTCATTGAATTCCCCTCTGACCAATTTCCACTCTCTAACCGTGAGTGGGCTGACCGGGTTATAAAACCTGAAAGGGTTCACCCGGAGCCCACTAAAGAGCTAGAGGACGCCTGTGAGAAACTTCTCAAGGGTGATCCTGTGACCGGTAAGCGATACGCTTATGGGGGCTAGGTGTACCGGTTACAAAATCCGGATGGGGTGTATATGCGACCCATGACGCAGAAGTTGACCGGGCCAACTCCCCGGATGGTCATGCTGAGGCCTGTTCTCCTCATCCAGGTCGATCATCTTCTCTCAAGCTTCTTACTTTCATTTTCTTTATTTATGTATAGGTTTAAAATCTAACCGGTCACCTGTTGCTTTGTTCTTTTTGGCAGACATGAACTTCAACAGGATGACCACCATCATCGTAGATGACGACGATGATGTTCAAGTTCTCCATTCCAACCGGTCTCCTATTTCCAAGCCTCCTTCTCCTCACATCCTTGAAATGGCATGAGGCCACAAGTGCCCGGTGTAGCCCTATCCATGAACAGAGCCAGAAGCTGAAATCTCCTCCAGCCACCCATCTCTCTGAAAGTGACCGGGTCCCTTCTCCTAAGAAGGATGTCAAGGCCAAAGGAAAAGGGACCGGTCATTCTTCCTCTCACAAAAGGAAGGGTTCCCACAAGACTTCCAGGGGAGAAAGGAAGAAGAAGGTCAGGCTATCAGATTTGGAGGGGGAGTCCATTGAAGTAACATTTCTGTCCTTGGCCAAGAAACTTAGCAAGGTACCAACTCTGATTTTCCTCCCGGTTTAATTATTTCATTGCTTTTACTGATAGGCATGTTTTCCGGAGTTATATCTGAAGAAGTTGGCCGGTCAATCCTTGAACCAAAGGACCAGGTTTCCGAGCTCGTCATCATCAATGGGATGGCAGGAGTGCTTTCACTCGCAGCCTGGCTTGACACAGTGTTGTGGTTGCTTGAAGACATGATTGTGGATATTTAGTGGGGGTAAAGTTTTGACCTGGTCGAAAAAACTTTAAAAATCGGTCCCACGGATGGCGCCAAAAATGATGGTGTAAATATAGCTGGGTGGATCGACCGGATTTGACCTGGACACTCGACCCGTAATATAAAACACACAACAAGAACACAAAGTATGACCTAGACCGAGTAAATCTCCTCAGTCCGAATTATATTTCTTACTCTGTCTCAAGAGTGTACTATTTTTAGTGAGAGAAAGAATGGATCCCCTCCTCTATCAAATATCATCATATTTATAGAGGAGGATTTGTGACCTTCCCCTGTTCATCCATGGACAAAATAGGAAGCTCGTGCGAAGGTCACTGTAGATAATGGAAGCACTGTACAATCATGGACTGGTTACTAATACAACCAAAAAGCATTGTTCAATCAAAGACTAAAATGGATATTCTCAATCCAATCAACCCTGCAAAATGACAAACATCCCTTTCACTGTGTGCCTCGTGATGGATGAGCGGCGGGGAGTCCCCTCGACCTCTGACGTGGTTCACCATGCCTAAGAGACTGGACCAATGTTAGCCAAGTAAAGTGATATGACCGGTCACCTTCTCTCAAAGGTTACCCGGTCATTTCTTGCGCTCAACCCGTCTTTTTGGTCTTCCAGAATATCCTTCGTAGCATAAGGTGACATTTTGGCTATCGTCCAAAATGTGACCGGTCACTTTTTTAGTGGAAGTGACCGGTCAACTTTTGACCCGTCCCAATCGAAGAGTTAACTTCATTTGGTGATTAATAAAAGTGACCGGTCATACCTTGACCTGTCCCTTTCGGTTGTCCGGATCGGGTATAGGGTTATACCCATCAGTTTCTAAAAATAGAGGACACCTCGGATTATATTTTAAAAATATGAGATAACTGGCAGTTAGTTTTTCAAAATATGAGGTACCCAGAAGCAATTTTCTCAATTTTCAAGTACCGGGTACATCTTTTGAATTTGAGTTGGAGGTCATTGTCGGACTCTTTCACCCTCGGTAGAACCCGGAGTAAGAGCTAACTCACTTTGACACTTTCTCTTTGTAACGTGCAGACAGCGAACCTTTGGAAGTCAGCAACTACTCGACCCTCGACACCATATAGAGCAATTTATTTTGCACTGATCATTTAGTTTTTTTCGCATCCGATTCTATTTTCATTCCCGAGATAATTAGCCGAATCAATCTTAAACTCGGATCTGGAGTTTCTTGAGCCGTAGCGGAAATGTACGGTAACTTAGGCGGTGTAGAAGGCACCGATCCTTCTGGTTTCCGCAAGATCTCTCCTCCGTCGACTATGCCTTGGGTCCGTAATCTCAGACGTTACATTGGAGATGGGACTGGTCTTGGCTCCGAAGCACTCATGGGTCAGTCCAGCCCAAATCTCTGATCGTTCTTATTTGTTTCACATATTTAGTTGCTTTAATTCCATATTCCTCTGGTTTTATCACTCATATATACATTTTATTTTTTTGGTTTTCATATATATTTTATTTTAATTAGTCTAACATATTTTTACCATTGCAATGGAGCTAAAAGAGTTTTTTGACAACGTTTTAGCTTTGAGTTACTAATGGGCTAGATCAAATGACACATAATGATGTTTTTAGGAAGTAAATGCCACAATGCACCAAGGGTGTAACGAAACGACCCCATTTTTAAAAGGGATAAGAATGCATTCATCTTGACCCTGGGCCCCAACAATGTTGGGATTATACTGAGTTTATTGTCGTCTGTGTTGTTGCTATAGTAGTAGTAGTTGTTGTTCTTGTAGTAATATTTTAGTATGGATCATGAATGGTTATTATTTGATAACTATGAAACAAAAATAATGCAGGCCAGCCAAGGTGTAAAGGTGCATACCAGATACAAAATTAGAAGTTTTTTTTGTAAATAATTAATTTAATGCTTGAAGTTTTCCTATTTGCTGATCATTTAATTTTAGTCAAGCACAAAGATTATTTGATTGAATTGCATAGCTAGTACTCCCTCAGTCCCTAAACAAAATTGACAGTTTGATTTCACGTAGTTTTAGCAAAGTGTTGACAGTGAAAGGTGTTTGGTGAAAAGTAAATATTTTGTGGTTGAAAATTATTTTGAAGATAGAAAATGATAAGAGTCACATATTCATTTCTACAATGGAAAGTGGAGATGTATAAAATTTCTTGATGGGACATCCAAAATGGAAATTGTAAAGCTCTTTGCCTCTTTTAGGAATGAAGGGAGTAGTTTTTAAATTGGTTTTTTAAAGAGGAAATTTGCCAATCATGTATTAGTCAATATCTATTATTCATCTCACTTTGTAGCTCCTATTCACTTTTGAAGAGCTTGAAACAAAGAAGATCTTGCTTGATATTTTTAAAGAGAAACAGCAAAAATGTGCTGCTGCTGGCACAATTCCCAGCTTCTATAAGAAAGTAAGAACAAGTTTTCTGTTGTATCAGATACCTTAATAGTCTTCACATGTAACAGATTTTCATCTCTTTTACTTTGTATTTTGTGTTATATTTTTCAGAAACCCGAAGAAGGATCCATTAGTCAAAGGGTTCAGAGACTTGCAAAATATCGATTTCTAAAGGCATTGACTTTCGTACTTCTTTTTCAGGCTTAAGTGAAGTTATTACATACCACACAAATCTCCTTAAGCATCCCTACTTCTCTCCCTGCAAATATAGAATTTCATTTTTGTACAGGGTGGTATATCTGTTCTCATGTTTAGAAAGCTATACATGAAGGATTTAATGTCATGCAGAAATTAGTTAAATATTTGGTTTGTTTTGTTTTGATAGGTTCGGGACAATAAAATTAAGTATTTCTTCTTTTTCTTGCAGAAGCAATCAGATCTTCTGCTAAATGCTGATGATTTGGATGCGATGTGGGTTTGTTTAAGAGAAAACTGTGTGATTGATGATGCAACTGGTGCGGAAAAGGTCTTCATTGACCCTACATTTTGTTTCATTGCAGTTTGTTTGTGGAGCCAAGAAACCTTTATGTTCATATTCTCTCACCTCTATCCATATAGAACATGCATATTTAGATAATTAAATGGACCAAAGTTACTAAACAACTCAGTGCAGCTGTTTCTGCAGTTTACTGAAATTGCAGCTTTTTTTAATAACATTTTCCCTCACAAATTTTGCAGTATAAGCTTATGCAGTTTACTAAAATTGCAGCTTTCTTATTTTTCATCTATTTTCTCTTTCTTATAGTAGAGAAACTTTAATTTCTTCAGTGTTCATTTATTTACGTTCAAGCATGGAATTGTTTCAAGTACATCTTTCTTTTTGCAATCTTGTAGATGAACTATGAAGACTTTTGCCACATTGCCTCAGTCTGTACAGAACAAATAGGCCCTAAATGTCGTCGCTTTTTCAGTCCTTCAAATTTCATGAAGTTTGAGAAAGATGAATCTGGCAGAATAGCCATTCTGCCTTTCTACCTTTATGTGATGCGCACGGTGGGCATAACATGATAATTATGTTTCAAACTTCCTATTGCTTATTCCTTAATTTTTTGTGATTGCCACTGCTTTTGTTGATTGGATCCATTCATTGTCCTGATTTTTATTGATAAATAAATTTTTTCCTTTCTAATATTTTGCAGTGAAAATACTGTTCTAGCCTTCTTTTCCTCTATTTGTCTTTGTATGTCTAACTTCAGAGCATAAAATGCTTGTTTCTTACATACACAATTTTTTATTAATTATTTCCAGGTTTCATTGACACAAGCAAGGATAGATATGAGTGAGCTTGATGAAGATTCTGATGGCTTTCTTCAACCTCATGTACAGCTCCTTGATCATCCTAGTTTTGCTGAAGAAAAATAATTCATAGAAGACATTTATTATGTAGATATTGTCAAATATTACTAGGGCAGTCTTGTACATTGTAGTATAAACCCATCTTTGTACATATAGATTGACTCTTATTGGAATACCATACATTGGTTGATTGACTATCCTACATGGTATCAACATCTTTAGCTCTTTGAACATCCTAACACCTTCTCACCTATGGCTCATCTTTGCCATGGCTAAAACTAGACATTATTCCATCTGCATCACCCTACCGGTCTCTAACACCAGAACTTCATTCCATCAGACCATCATGCTTGACATTGAGAAGGCTTTTTAACACCCATGGATTGAACTTTTTACGAATGCTCCTGATCACATCATTCTTCCTGTCATTGATGATGTCATTGTTTATGATGCTGATGAAGTTGATGATGTTGCAGCATCGACCTTCCCGTCAGTGATAAAGTCCTATGGAAGTGCTGCCGTGCCATCATCCTTCACTGGGTCTATGAGAGAATGATATTTTCCTTCAATGAATGACACAATGTGAATGAGATCACCTCGTAGACATCTTCCAAGACACCAAACAATTTCGTGGAATTTATCTTGATTCTTGAAAATGAGTTCCTTAACACTCATTTGCGCCTTTTCTTAGGTTATGTGATCGATGTTGCTAATGTATGTTCCTAGGTAGAACTCAAGCCCTTATGCACATTTGGTAGGGAAGAGATGATAGGTTTGTCACTGGTTCCCAAAGTCACACCTTGAGTGCTTTAGGAGTTCTGGAACAAATTATGATGCTTCAAAGTTGTGAAGAATATAATCCACTTGAGGATTTCTGCTTCCCACGTTCTCATGTCATTCACCTTCAAAGATCAAAATTTGAAAAATTATACTCCCTCCGGTCCTAAAAACATGGGAGTTATTGATATTTAAGAGATCTAATGGAAGTGTATTTTGGTATTGAAATTCCAAAACAGTCCTTTGATGTGATGGGCAATAGTAGGATTTGATGGTAAATTATTAGTAAAAATGTATAATGTGATAGGTAGGGTATGAAAAACTAAGGGGTAAAAGTGACTTTTGAATAGAAATAAGAAGTGTTTTTTGGGACGGATGAAAAAAGAAAGGAGAAAGGTTTTTAGGGACGGAGGGAGTATGACCGATAATATAATGCTCTTAAAAATGAAACATGAGAATGGGATCCTCAGCCTACGGATGTTAATTTGTTTCGTTGCATGTGATTGTTTAAGCATAAGTTTTTGTTTGAAGGGTCTCTTGAAACATAAAACTCATCTTGCTGTAAATGACATGTCCCAATAGGCTAGTGTTGCTTTTGATGAGATCTTTAACATGCTGGTCAGGATGGTTGTTACCACTGGTTTGCTCTTAGTCAGTTCTTGGTCCTTTCACTGATGCCTAAAATGCATTCTCACATGACCAACTTGAAGAGAACGTCTTTATGCACCAGCTGCTTGGGTTTGCACAATCTGTAGTTGATCCATGTCTGCCGTCTTTTGATGTGGACAGTGTCTTCCATTATCAGGCTTTTTAGCAAATCCAACTACTTTCTGTTCATCTTCCATCATGGGTTCGATGTGGCATATTTGTTACCCTATGTGGATGAGATTGTCCTCATCACTTCCATAGTCTCTTAACTCTTTGTTAGCATATTAGTTCCATGCTCAGTGTTGTTTTTTGAAATTACAGACAAGGGCTCTTTATTTTTTCTCTAGCATCCAAGTTGCTCAACACAATGGCGGCCTATTCCTCTATCAATAATAGTTTCCAAGGACATTGTGGCCTTGATTAATATGTCGGCTAACATACTCACTGGCACCCTGGTCAGCACACACACCAAGCTCGTGTCTATCCCTGTCGGCTTAAATACTCTACCACAGATTGGCACGGGTGTTACCTCACCTCACCTTAATGTGTCCAGACATCCTCTCCTATGTTGTTTAGAAGATATATATTTATGCATGATTTACATGAGCTATGTATGCGTGATAGACTTCTATGAAGATTAAATTGGGTTGTTTTATGCTACCATGTTGTGTGTTTAGTGGCTTTTCATTGTCATTAGTTTAGAGGCTAACCTGAATGTTTCAACAGGAGATGGAATCTTACATACGTGGCCTTATACCTAATCTGGCTCAACTGCGAGACATGCCTGCGGCCTTTGTGCAAATGTATTGTCGCATTGCTGCGCATAAATTTTTCTTCTTTTGTGATCCCAACAGGCGAGGTTTGCCTCTTGTTATATGTAGATATATAATGCTTCTTGGGCTGAAGGCTTTCCATGTATAGTTTACTTCCCTTTTAAAATAAAACCAATTATCATGCTCTCTACCACAGGAAAGGCTTGCATAAAGAAGATTCTGCTCAGTAACTGTCTCCAGGAGCTGATGGAACTACATCAGGTAACATGGCTGTGTGGGCGCTAGTTTGATAACTGAGTTAACTAGTTTCATTCACCCATTCGATGTTAAAGTTAATATCACGTTTGGGAACATGTAAAAGTATGTAGCTATTTGCCGGTCAAATGTCATTGTGTTCATAGTAGACATTGATATGGTATTGCTCCCTATGTCCTTGAATAAACTTCTTTGTTTGACTTTCACGGAGTATAAGAGAAGTGTTGAGAACTGAAAAAGGAGTGGTTAGAATTTGATGAGACAATTTTTTTGACCACATAATTCTTTCCCTATAAGGAAAGTGAAAATTATTTTGGGATGCCTAAAAAAAGAAAGAAGTTTATATAAAGACAGAGTATAATTTTATCTATTCTGGTCACTAGGAAAGTGAGGAAGAAGTCTCAGATGCTGAACAAGCTGAAAACTGGTTTTCATTGACTTCTGCACAGCGCATATGTGGTAAGTACTTTGATCTGGTTATTGAGTCCCATTCATGTTGATGTATGGGTATTATTTTCTACTTATCCTTTAGTTTGAATTTGCTCGAGTTAGTGCTGCATTTTCAGGCAGGGCATTGCATCTCACTCCATTAGTCTATTCTATCATTTAAAATTGATTCAGATTCTTCTAAATGTCTACTCATCAATGTTCGGGGTATGGTTGGGAGAGGTTTTGGAATGTTCTAGAGGGGAAGGGAGGGGAAATTTTTATTTTTCTATTTTTTGCTTTAAAATTAGAAATTAGATATGCTTTTTAATAATCAGATTACTTGAACCAAACAAGCTTATGTAACATTATCTTGATAACTATTAGAGTCTATCCCACATCGGAAGTTGATTAGAAAAGTAATCGGTATATAAGCTCTTGAGTTGAATTAAGTAATCGATTGGATTCAATCTTTTAATGTGGTTCAACTCAAAGGTCTTATGGCCCAATCAGTTATCCTAACCTCATCCTAAATTCTAACACAGTATCGGAGCACGTCCGGTCCGGGTTTGATTCTTCTTGGTTGTTGGACGTGGGTTTAGCAAAATAAGTTATCCGTCCGTGGTTTGGGTTGAGTTGGCTAAAAGGTATTGAGATGTCACCGGCTCACCGCCCATTGTGTGGGCTAGCTATAAGAGATTGAGATGCTAGACCCGTTTGTCCAAGTGCTAACTAGGCCAGACTAGTTACCACTTGAGGGGGAGTGTTGGAGTTCCCACATCGAAAAATAAAGAATAATACCACTAGCATATATAGAAAGATGAAGTCCTACCTATTAGCTTAAGCTTTTGGGTTAGAATAGTAGATCCTGGTTCTATATGCAAATGGTTAATTTTACCCGACACTCTACGCGTTGTTCTCGGCCCACCGAAATTCTAACAATAACATTACCTACTTAATGTATCATCCAGTGATCAATTTGGCTCACTTTTATTTTGCGGAAGAATTTTGCTTAATGAAATATGAGTTCATATTACTTTTCCCTAATTAGCTGGATACACTCTTAATGTGATAATGCCTTTAAATCAGCTAGGCAGAAGCAGCAATAACTGTTTATGAGTGCTTTCTAGCTTTGTTGGATTGCAATGCTTACCTAAATCTTTTTCAATTAAAATCACAACATGAACATTGTGAATTATACAAGAACTGTTTGATACGGCTTGAGATGGTTTGAGATAAGTTGCGGGAAGCGAGGTTGAGATGGTTTGGGCATGTGAGACGGCGGGATGCTGATGCCCCTGTACGGAGGTGCGAGAGGATCACGGTTATCGGGGGAAGGGGTAGACCTAGGAAGAATTGGAAGGAGGTGATTAGGCATGATTTAGGACTTCTCACTGAGGATATGGCTTTGGATAGGAACCTTTGGTGGACTAGGATTAAAGTAGCTGGTTAGGAGCTCGGTGCTGCAGAGGTTTTTTTAGTGTGTTGTGTTTGATTGGAATCTTCTACTTTTGCTTGCTGGACTTTCATTTCATTGTACTTGGTGCTTTATCCTGTTATATCCTGTTATATCCTGTTATCCTGTTATATTGTGTTCCCTACCATGTTTTTTGTGCAGGTTGAGCCGGGGGTCTCTTGGAAATAGCCTCCCTACTTCTGAGTAGGGGCAAGGTCTGCGTACACACACCCTCCCCAGACCCTACTGTAGTGGGATTCAACTGGGTTGTTGTTGTTGTTGTTTGATACGGCTTGAAGATTTCTATTTGAGAAATTAATTTTCTCCTGTAAACTGTCTTTCTTGCTTCTTCCATTTAAAGTTTGCATGTCTCCTTTATCAAGAGTGTTCTTTTAATTCTGGAATCCTATAAATGTGTGTGTCTAAGTGCTTCAGTATTGGGAGTTAATATTTCATGTAGTTTTTTGCCCAATTGGGTTCCATGGATATGCAGTTTCCCAGTTCTTCATGAAATCTTGCAGATATGTTTCTTGCTCTAGATAAAGATATGAATGGAACATTGAGCAAGCATGAACTCCGAGAATATGCAGAGGGGACACTGACAGATATTTTCATTGAGAGAGGTAAAAGTGCTAAATGTCCAAACCTTTTATTGGCCTTGTTTGGGAAAAACATTTTCAGTTAGCATTTTGAATATTTTCTTAAGGGTGCACATTAAAATTTAAAAACTCGTGAGATAGCTTTTTCAAAATATTAAATTTAAGCACTGAAGCTGTTGCCAAACAGGCACATTAATTATAACAGGAAAGGTTTGCAAATTCATTTAGAGGAGTGTTTGATACATATTAAATTATAATTACATGGATTTCTATTAATTGTTATTGATATGTATACACACACACACACAAGGTGCAGTTTCAGTAAAAGTAATAGAGAGTGGGTTTTTCTGTTTTAGTCCATTCTAAGGCACTTTATCGCAGCAGCAAAGACGTTCCATTTATTTACAAAATTGCCATGCCAATTTTAAAATTTACAAACTGTATGTTCTGTTTTATACATATATGTTGGTGCCATACCTAGTGGCCCCTATGGAATACTCCATTTTTTACATATTAGAAATTTCATTTGGCTATCGTACAAAGTTACTTAATCTCTTTTATTTTCTTGGCACTAGTTTTTGATGAGCATGTCCGGCGCGGTAAAACTGGAGGCGTTAATGGTCGTGAGATGGATTTTGAAAGTTTTCTCGACTTTGTTCTAGCCCTTGAAAACAAAGACACTCCTGAGGGATTAACATACCTGTTTAGGTGTCTTGATTTGCACGGGAAGGGATTTCTGACAACTAGTGACATTCATACACTCTTCAGGTCAGAATACTAGAAAGAATGTTGTTTCTTGCCAGCTTATTCTTTTGGTGTGCTTAATCAACGGTTGCTGGTCAATTTGTTGTTGTTGGGATGAATGCATTATAACCTCATATGCAAAACAAAGCAAGCAATAATGTAATGGAAGTAAAGAAGGGGAGTTTCTGTAAGTTAAGAAGCTTCCCGATTCATTCTTCCTAAATTAATAAATCTTCTGGGGTTTCCTGCTCGTGGTTCGTGAGCATGTTCACGAGTCTCTAGTAACCAGACACATGCTCCTTAAAATTGTTTTGCCATGGTTCTGTAGTGCCACTTTTCCCTCTTGTTTGGTCGTATAGGGCCATAATAATAATAACAATGCTAACTCCATTTTCATATGTTTCTCACACCAGAGATGTTCATCAGAAGTGGATCGATGGAGGGAATTATGAACTATGCATCGAGGACGTGAGAGATGAAATTTGGGATATGGTGAAACCGGGTGACCCTTTGAGGATAACTTTGACTGATTTACTGGCATGCAAGCAGGGTGGGACTGTGGCAAGCATGCTTGTTGATGTTCGTGGTTTTTGGGCCCACGACAACCGAGAGAACCTACTTCAGGAAGAGGAGCCAGTTGAAGAAGGATAGCATCCTTCATTCCCTTATCAATTATTGGGAAATTGCAAGGATTAGAGAATGAATTTAGGGGAAAATAACGTTGTCCTTAGGTTGTTGCGTAACTGTTTTTTAGTCCTCGTTTGTTGCACTTACTCACTCGGTCCTCTGTTGCACTCACTCACTCATTAACATGTCAGTTCTGTTACAAATCATGCATATTATTCCCTCTTGCCCATTATATTTATCTTTCTTTATCTTTTTTTTAAACTTATTATTTGTCTCATACGAGTACTATTGGTTGGTATTTATTTTTATTTAATCTTGTTTATTAGTAATTATATTAACTACTAATTTCTCAAATATAGTGGGAAGACTACTAATTTCTCAAATACAGTGGGATGACGGGGGAGTATAATATTGGATGGGAGTACTCTATTAGTCTATTCTTTTACGCCTCTACTGATGTAGTGATACAGTCCTTTGCTATATTGACCACGTGGGTAATTGCCTTAGCTGGGAAAGGAGGTTATGTTAGTTACAATCTGTTAGTTGGTTGTTAGTTTGTTGAGAAGCTGTTGTGATACATTGTTAGGGCTATATAAACCGATGTATGTTGTATGCTAAGGCATGAATAATAATCTGAATTCATCTTCTTCCCCATCTTCTCCTTCTCTCTCTAAAATCTCTGTTCTTAATCACCATTGCCGTTACAGAG